GAGGAACGTATTTTTCGAAAAGTGTGAAACACCCCTTAAATGAATTTGAACAAAGATCTTTGAAAATAAGTTTGAGGCCGATCGGATGGTAAACAAAAAACTTTCATACAACCGTTTTCCGCCAATTTACCACTGTTGCGGGTGGAATTTCCCAAATCGCTAAAATACGTATTTATTAAGTTCTTATTTAGAGCTTTGAAAATAAGTTTGAAGCAAATCGGACATAACTTAAAACTTCGCCCAAAAAATCTTTAAATCGCATTCCCCCCGAAGAAGTTTGAATTCTGCGAAAAGTGTGAAACACGTATCAAATGATTTTTCTTATAGATCTCTGCAAATGAATTTGAGCGCGAAACGTCACCCACCAAATCTTTAACCTCCATTTCCACCAAGGAGGAACGGATTTTCCTAAAAGTGCGAAACAGCCCTCAAATGAATTTGAACAAAGATCTTTGAAAATAAGTTTGAGGCCGATCGGATGGTAAACAAAAAAGTTACATACAAACGTTTTTCGCGATTTTGCCACACTTGCGGGTGGAATTTCCCGAAACCCCGTCTTAACGTGCACCTACATCACATAAGGTAGCTACAGTGAAAATTTCACCTTCCTAGCTCTTACGGTTTGGGCTGTGCGTTGATCACCAATCAGTCAGTCAGTCAGTCAGTCAGTCAGTCAGTCAGTCAGGACAAACAGTTTTATATATAGAGATGATATATATAAATAATAACCATGACTAGAAGTTATTTACTAGAAAAGAATCCTTTTTTATTATTCTGACTATACGAGAATTAGCATAATGTTTATTTTTCTGGCTGTTCGAGCAACTGGTATATCTTGCATGTGCCTTTAATATTATCTCTTATGCTTACAGTTCCTGTGGCGCATAGGGGCTAGGGGCTTATACAATGGCTATCCGACGGAGACACGTCGTCACTGGGCCGCACTGCCCGAAGACTTCAACAAGGTGGACGCGGTATATGAGAATCAACAGCGCCAGATTGTCTTCTTCATAGGTGAGCCGCAATCGAACTCTACCTTGACTAACCTCTGTTAAACTATTTACAATTTGTCCTGCAGGTCGGCAGTATTACGTCTTTGATTCGGTCACCCTGGCGCCGGGCTATCCACAGCCGTTGACCAGCTTGGGCTTACCGGCCACACTCACCCATGTGGATGCTGCCTTTGTGTGGGGCTACAATAATCGCACATATTTAACGAGTGGCACCCTGTACTGGCGCATCGATGACAACACGGGCACGGTGGAGCTGGATTATCCGCGCGACATGTCCATTTGGGCGGGCGTCGGTTACAATATCGATGCGGCATTCCAGTATACAAACGGCAAGACCTATTTCTTCAAGAATTTGGGCTACTGGGAGTTCAACGATGATCGCATGAAAGTCGCACACGGTCGCCCCAAGCTCTCCGCCCGCATGTGGATGCAGTGTGCGCGCAGCGTCAACGATGTCGACGAGGAGCAGCGCTGGACGGCGCCACTGGTATCCGGCACCAATGAGACGACAGATGGCAGCTCTGCGGCGGCCAGCCCGAGTCAGCAGCGGCATAGTCTAATGGGTTTACTTCTAGTTGCACTCACATGTTTAGCCTGGCGTAGTTAAGATTGAGAATGCAATTGATCTATACAAGTTTAGGCATAGGTTTAAGCTTAGTTTAAGGCAGAGGTTCTCAACATATTTCGTCTAACGCCCATTTTTTTTAAATTAATTATTTCCTCAACTTTCTCGCATCTTAATAATCACATTAAATTATAGAGTCTTATCTTATTTCTGTGTCCTTTACCGCGCACCCATGTAGGCGAGTTATCGGTATCGTTTGCTTTTGAGAAAGACTGGTCCCACCCATCAGACATCCCCATATATATATATCTATATATATAAAGATAACCTACATATATACGGGGTGTATAACAGCTCTACTGTCAGACAGTAGATCGCTTCAATCTGCACCCAGAAGATAAAACACGCAGCGGCCTTAAAAATCTTCAACATAAAACTCATCACTTGTAAAATTCATCCTTTATGGATGAAAATACATAAAAAGAAAAACTATCTAAAACTTGCCAGACGCCATCTATGCAACAGAATAGCAGGATTGTTTATTTTCGTAACGCATCATATATTTTATAAATTAACGAGTTCTATGCATAATATTCTATAGATATCTAGTTTTATACCGAATCCAGATGAGAATTTCTTGAATTTTCTCAGCCACCACTGCCTTATAAATTAAGTACAGTATTGCTTCATATGAACGAACCGATTGGCCCGAGTCCAAGTAGCTATGATCTGCCCGCATTTGTTTTGTGTTTTTAATTTGGTTGTAAAAAAACAAAAACCTTTCTAATTATTTATATTTAAATAATTGTGGGATTCCTGAAACTGATTTAGATGTGATCTAGATTTCGTGAAAGCAAAATAAACTAAGGCGCGAAACCACAAAATACCGAATGAAATTGTGAAAACTATTTTTAAGCCTATTAATAATATCTTTTTACTTGGAGAGTATTTAGTTTTTATTTTTAACATTTTAGCTGCAATTTTGACCAATTTTGCAGCTCCCTTTCTATCTCCTTTTCCATTATTTCCACAGTAAATAAATAATTATTTAATAACTAAAACTTGGATATATTGCAATCACATCAGAATATAGGCAATCACCAAGTGTGACCGCGTAGTATTTTTTAAAGAAAACGGTCACTGAAGCAAGCAAAACGAAATCCAATCTAAATCAGATCTGAATCACCTCGAGCTGATTTCATTAGGTCTTTCAGTGTGACCTCAATTTCTATATGTTTTCTGGGCACACTTAACTTTTATATGGAGCAGTTGTGAACAGCTGATCGACGAAATCTAAATCAAATCAAAACTATTTCAGGAATCCCACTAATGTGATATTATAATAAAATTGTATGTGTGCGATTCAACAATGAACCATAAAAAAACACTCAAGAACAAATCCACTTATAAACAATTCGATTTATTACATTTATTAGAAATATATTTTGATAGTATTAGTTCATTACATCTGTATATTTGTATTCTTAAAAAAAAAAACACATTTAAGCTGAATATATCCTTTCATACATATTTTGGTGACATAAATAAATGCAGTCATTTGCGAAATACACGGAGAAACCATTTGTATATCTCTTTACTCTGTCTCCTGTTTTTCAACTAACAAGAAGGAAATCTGAAGATCATTATAAAAATGACACCTTACGAATTACTTAAGATGGAAATATTCTTTATTCGACAAAAAATGAGTGTCTTGTAAATGATCTTGGGCTAATTTATAACCTCCTATGATCAAGTCGGCAAGTCAACATTTAAATGATAAATAACATTTTAGGATTCGGGTATTTACATTTACTGCGACTATATCTATGATATGGCTTAACCAAGGATATATGGGTTATCTGGGAACTATCAGCTCTGATTTTTTGTTTGCTGACAAATGGAATATCTGCAAAAAGTTCAACTATTTATGCCAAACAAATTATTAAATTATAAAACCAAAAATAACCAACACTCGGATAAACTCTTTTCGATGTGGGAAACTTATTCCTTTTTTAACAAGGAAGGGGTTCCATTGCCCTTGCCATTTTTGGCAACTTTGGTCATAATTTAGAATGCGAATTTTCTAATTGAAATAGATTGTGGTGGTCCATAGGAGTCCGAAAATGTATATATTTAAAAAATCGGATATATAAAATAGCATTTTTAAAAAAACTTTATATGTAGCCAAGGTAAATATTGTCCGATTTTGAAAATATTGGACGTTTAGAACCTGGGAATGTCTTTAGAATTGAATGGAAAGTTGTGAAACTTTAGAATTCGAATTTTTAAATGCTAACGAACAGTTGTGATCCGTACGAGTCCAACAAAGTATATCTTTCGAAAATCATAAAATAACTACTGCAAATAATCCTATAATATTCGGAATTATCAGAAACTGTTTGTTTTGATGATTGTCGATGGTTGATAGTTCTTAGAAATCCCATATTTATTGACTGCAGATTAAAACAGTTATTTCGTGGGATCCTACTGACTGCTTAAAGGCGGGAAGGAACTATTTTAGTGAAAAGGGATCTTTTTCCAGTGCAACTATTAAGTATTCTCTGATATCGCTATCATACCGGCTGATGTACGACAAAAAACTATAATCTATGATTAAATCTGGAAAGCATATGAAAACCATTTGGATATCGTGTTTGATATACTGTTCATATCAAAGGTGAATGATAACAGAGTGCACAGATTGTACAGTGAAATGATTCGTCAGCTTTGACAAATCAAATTGCTTTTGTATCGCCTCATGACGAGTTATACGATCTTTTAAATTTATGTGAAAAAAACTTAAGTACAGCGCCTTTTTTTCGAGGTAATGAAGCTTGTTGTCAAACTCTGATTATTTTATGTCTGTTTTATATAGTACAAAAAGCTTTATGAACGAGTATCTACTATATACGATAACAAATGATAATTAGTTGGGATACGTAAAAATGTAGCAAGCCAAAAAACTCTATTTAAGTAAAAAAACAGATGTATCATGTTTAACGATAATGCCCTTATCTAGCGCTATAGACAGGTAAATAAAAATGCTTTATATATATATATATATATATATATACGTATATATATAACCGATAACTGATAACTGGGGCAGTGACAGTTGAACAAATGAAGCCGGAAGAGAGTCAAAACATTCTGATATTTATAGATCTATATAATGCATGGTACTCTATAATCGGTAAATATTCACGGATTGAATATGATGAGCCCTGCCTGATGTAACTGTTCGAGTGATAGCTTTATAATGTCGACTTACATATTACACATATAAATGTACAGGCTTTTGTTATCTTATCTTGTGTTTAATGTCGTTTGACACAAGGTGCTGTATTATTATTGTAACAATCGCTCGGCAGACCCAGAACAGAGCAGAAGCTCAAATTCTCCCGCTCAGTTGCACTCGGGGCTTCAGTCTTTCAGCACTTGAGTGTTATATTCAATATTGTCATTATTGTCAATGCGTCATGGCCAGTGACGACACCACCAAGAGAGAGTGTCCCGCAACAGAGTCCCCCGAGCCCGACACCGAGTACGAACACCCAAAAATCAGATCCAAAAACGCCAATCGCACAACCGGAGCGTTGACAGTCGCGCATAGACCACAGTCGTGGGCAGTAGCAAAAAGTGGTTCAATATTTAAATACGGACGTAAATTATACGGCTATCCATATCTACATGTATGTGCATACACCTACATAGCAATACGTACGTCGGCCCAGATACATATATAAATATATATAAATATATATATATATGTATAACTGCCTATATTAAATTAGAGACAATTGTGAGTAGAGGTCGAGCAGCAGTGGAAATTGTGCAAAGCTTTGCGCCGCCTAGTTAAAGACAAGTCAAGGCCCGCACCTACTATATATATAAATATATATATATATATATACCCATAGATATAGATATAGATATCGCTTAGGGCTGAACTCGAGCGGCATTGATAACGCCCACCTTGTCTTGGCTATGAGTAAGCCCAAACTAGCAGATAGTTGTGCCTTAAGCAAATGCTATTAACTGTGAACGCAGAATCTAATCAATAGTGCTTAATGTGTGGTGCTTGCCCCAAGGGCTTGTCCAATCTATGACGAATCTCGTTTGTTAAATTCTAGCACCTGGTTGCCTTAGCACATATCTAATCGCTGCCCGCAAAAACCATGACAGCCTTAAATTGCCCGGAAGTTCACTTTTGACTATTATCTATCCATCGCCTAGAACAAATTTCAGTAAATCAAAACTCTATGTGTATTATCAGATAAGTGAGCCCACCCGAAAAGCGAACCGCCAAAATAATGTCGACCAATCAGAGCAACGAAGATAATGCCATACGACCGCTGTGCGCTGAGCTGGCGCTGAAGGCGCAACAGGAGCTGGGTGAGGTGCCCGAACGTGTGCCCGAGGACGTTGAGACGGTGCGCACATGGATCTCAAAGCAGCCGCATCTGAAGGCACGCCAGGATGCGCAATTTCTGGTCGCCTTTCTGCGCGGCTGCAAATATAGTCTGGAGAAGACCAAGCTCAAGCTGGACAACTTCTATGCCATGCGTGGCGCGGTGCCGGAGCTGTACAAGAATCGATTTGTGGGCGAGAAACAGCTCAACATAATCAAAACTGCGTAGGTTCTGTTAGGACTACAAACCTTCCCAGTTTTCATATATCTTGCATCCCTGCAGCTGCCTACTACGCCTACCCCAACCACTGCAGTTGGACGGTCCGCGCATACATATCTCACGCTATGGCCAATACGATTCCAACAAGTATTCCATTGCGGAGGTCATGCAGGTTAACACCATGCTCGGCGAGATCCAAATACGGGAGGATGACAATGCGATGGTCTGTGGTTTCGTGGAGATTATTGACATGAAGGGCATTACCACCGGCCACATGTTCCAATTCGATGCGGTGCTGATCAAGAAACTGGCCGTGCTGGGCGATAAGGCGCTGCCCTATAGACCCAAAGGTTTCCACTTTATCAATGCACCAACCATGGCCGAGAAGGCAATGTCCATAGCCAAGAGTTTAATGAGCGAAAAGATACGCAAGCGGGTAAGTCGAAATAGCGACAACAATGACTTGACTGTTACTATCTATATATATAAATCCTTCTCAGTTCCATATACATTCTAAACTGGAAACACTTTACAAGCATGTGCCCAAGGAATGCCTGCCCATTGAATATGGCGGCACCAATGGCAATATACAGGATGTTGTCGATATCTGGACGCAAAAGCTGTTGGACTATACGGACTTCTTCCAACAGGATGCGATATATGGTACAAATGAGAAACTGCGACGCGGACAGCCCATCAATTCCGAAACACTTTTCGGCATCGAAGGCTCCTTTCGCAAATTGGACATTGATTAGTTTATACATTTGATACTAGTACATATTTTAACAATAAATAATTATTTTTTTAATGTTGTAGCAAAAGAAAAATTAATTAAAGCACAAACAACAAGTAGATTAATTTAAAAAAAGAAAGAAAATCCAAAATAATATTAACAGGGCAGTATATAAAATTCAAATGCAGTCGTAATGGGCAAAAGGCCTAACAGCGCTAAGCTAGAACAGCTTAGAGCTTAGCCTGGACTTGCTGCTTGGACTTTTTCTGAAGAAATTCATAGGCCACATCATGATAAGGCTGGGCCGCATCGCGCACACGCTCCAACCATTTAGCCACCTTGGGAAACTGTCGCTCATTCACATTGTACTGGCACAGCTCTGGAAATTATTATAAGGCATATTAGTGAAGCCAAGTGGCGAACTTGTTGATACACTTACTCAGCTGTTCGATTTCGGAGGCGCCTAATAAATCGGCAACGGTCAGCTTATTTCCGACCAAGAACTCCTCCTTCATCCAGAGGCGCTCCAATGCACCCAATGAGCCTTCAACATCTTTCAAAAGTTTTTCGACCACTTCCGGCTTAGGCTTAGCGGCCAGTCCATTGACGGGCAGCAGCCAGCCCTTAATGAAGTATATGCCACAGGGCACACGGACATTTATATTCTGCCACTCCAAGCACTCATCCACACGTGCACGTGCCTGCAGGCCTTTAGGATAAAGCTGTTCGCTCAGTTGATTTTTATCCGAGAGATAGCTGCAATGATGCAAATTATTTGTATTATATTCTAGTGACCTTTGGCACTTGGTGTGAAGACAAACCGTATCATGGCCACGCTCTCGGATAGGTGGAAATTGCCATCCACCAGTGCCGGCACCTTCTGGAAGCGATTGATCTTTTTGTACTCATCTGTCAATTGTTCGCCTGCAACAACAACAACAACCAAGTCGAGTTTGATTTGCCGGCCTGAGGCGTCAGGTGCAGTTGAACTCACGTTTGCGCAGCGCCACGGGGTACTCTTCGAATGGGGTTTTACACAATTTGAGCGCCAGCCACAGTGCACGCGATGGCGGTGACAAAAAGTCATAATAGAACTTAATAGCTTGTGCCATGTTGATGAATTGAACCGGACAAGTTTTCTTCGCGGCAATTAAATCAGCTGCGGTGCAAAGTCTAAATTACACTGCTACACAACACTAATTCGTATTAAGACCGTTTGTTAGCACTGCTGTTGCGCGCCTATAGAGCTGTCCCGCTCACACCTTTAACTAGCTATTTAAGAAGTTGCGCGCGTTCAATTCAAATTTGACATGCAGAGCAAAATATGATTTCAATGCAAAATATTACTACAACTAGGCTGATATCATTTGTCAAATTTTGGCATTTCAAATATGATTGAATGGATTTTGTTGCTTAGTTTTAAACATTTTATCAGCAACCTTGCCTTCGCGTAAGCCTTTATCTAATGCATAGATAATTCCGCAACATAAATGCCAAGGTGCGACACGTCATCGGCGCTTATCAGCTTGTTATTACTTTACAAACGATTACAATATTTATCATGGTAAGAATCAATGAAAATATCAGTTGGATGGTATCTTTTTTGCGTTCCAAATGTATTTCGTTTGACATTTAAACAAATTCGCTTTAATTTATTAACGTACTCAACATGGGTCGCTACAATACACCGTCAATTATATATGTAGTATGTACTATATATATATATATGTAGGGATGTATAGGTATATGTATATGTGTAAACTAGTATCAAAAATTAGTAGAAACGACACTTAACGCAAAAATGATCGAAAAATTAGATATTTATATATGTATATGTATTAAAATAAAAGCCAACAAGAACTTAGCATAGTATATAAGTAGAAGACGTCCATTGTAAGCAAAATGTGGCGAGAACGATTTTGGGGGCGACTAACCGTAGACATGGGGGTATGTGCGTTGATAAGACCGACAATAAATTATAATCGACATTCATGAGGTTTTTGCCATTTGATGGCGGTTTTGTTGTTTTTTTCTTTTCATTATTTCTTTTTTTAGTGTGCACTTTGTTTTTGTTGTAACATTGTTCAATTTGCTTTAGGTTTCGATGTTGCTTTCTATGAATTGTTATAAAATATCAGGTTCAGCTATGTCCAAAGTTCGCTGTAGTACATATATGGATGGGGTATGTATATATTTATATATATATGTATATATAAATATAGAGAGGTGTGTATAGTATGTGCATCTGAATATACAACTAACTGCCACCATCGTTGTCACAGCCTCAATCAAAGGTCAGCTTGCGAAAGGTGGCGTCCTCATTGGCGGACCCGGGGACCAGTGTGGGGCGCTGCTCCTTCTCGCTGGCAGCTCGCAGTTTCTCGTCAACACCAAAACGCTCCTCATCCTTGAAGTAGTTCGTAAAGCTGTTCAGTTGCATCTCATAGCGTGTGATGGCCTCGTTCAGTGAGCCATTATTGCCGCCCAGCTCCGCCGGCAGATACTCTTTGCCAATGGCCTTGTACAACGACTCCAAATTGGGATGTATGTGCAGCTAAAGCAAAATATTTGAAAGAAAAATAACGAAATTTTCTTTTTGGATTATCTTTTTGCTACGCACCAGTTCCTTCTGTTTCATCACATTGCGGATTATGGTGAGCACAAACTGTGTTTCTCGCGAGGCGTTCACAATGTGCGTGGCCACTAAGCTCGTGGGCAAACCATGCTCGAGGAAGGCATTCATGCGCTTGAACAAGCTAGGATCGAACTGCAGCAGCAGCGAGTAAGGTATTTTAGTAAAATCAATAAGCTCCACAACGCCGGCAATATTCCAGTTGTCGTCGGTGTTGATCTCAATTTCAGAGCGGAAGGCATGGAAGCGAAAAATGTCGGAAACGCTATGCTTGGAAGTCTCTATGTGCCCCATGCGTGTGTAGTGGATACGTGGACCGCCTGGACCAATGGGATTGGGTAGTGTAGCAAATATACTGCAAAATGAGCAAATCACAAATGCAAATTTATTGTTAATGCATACTCTTTACGCTCTCTAATCTTACCCTGATCTGGCCAGCTCGAGGACCTTGTCATCTACCGAACGACACTTGAGTAGGCTGCGTTCCTTGGACTTGTAGTTGTAGAAGAAAAGCACACGCTTTTTGGCCTCCTCCAGATCCCATTGACAGAAACGCAGAAATGCGACCAGAAACTGGTCTTCGGTGCGCGCCACCAGATAGTTCTGTTCATCGATCCAAGTGCGCAGGGCCACAATTAACGCATCTCGGTTCGCCTCGTCCTCGTTCAGCTCCGAGCGCGCCACTTCCGCCAGCTCTGGCACCAGCTGTCTTATTTTGGCCATCGTGTTTAGATAACTGCAAATTTGATTATCGATACTTTAAGCAATTGTGACAATTTGTACTCCTGGCCAGAAAGGTGTTGGATAGACTTGTATGCTCCGTCTAGGTTCAAACACAACTAATAGCAAACTCGTTGCCTGCTGCGAGGTGGCCAGCACTTGGCAAACAAGTGTACACTAAACTAGCAGAAGCTACAAGGCGATATTGACTTGGCCAATGTACAATGGGTCAAATCATCAAAATTTCACTTCAAAAAATATTGAGTTTGTTGAGAGAGCATATACAAAAACAAAACAAAAAATTTACTTTAGCGGCTATGTTCGTTCTTTGTATTATGTATTTTGAACAACAAAATCTGAAAGATATATTTCCGACTTTAAATTGGTACAACAACAGCTTACCGAAGAATGATTTAGTATAAAAATATATAAAGATTGCTGTATTAAAAAAAATTCTATATAATTCTTCCCTAACTCAAGTGAAATTCCTACATTGAAATTGACAGTTGATGCTTTTTTAAATATTTCAAGAGTTGCTCTCAAATTTCAAGCATTTAAGCTTGTGTTTTAATGCAATTTTTACGAATTTCATATAGGATCTAACTTCACTTATTTCAGTTTATTTTTAATTAGAATTTAAATAATTATTTAATATAATTATTTATTAAAATAACATAGATAAATAGCACTCAGAAAAAGAAAGAAAACAGTTGTTTCACTAAAAGGTTTTCTATGTGCACATTTTGCATGTTAAAGGTGCGATTTGGTGCCACTGTGCAGCGACAGTTTGGCGATAAGATAAGGCTTTAGGCAGATATAACTGTAGCGTGGTTCGATTAACAGGCAGATATCAACAGAAACGAACTTTGCTATGCGCCTTTTGCAGCTGCATCGCCCAAGCAGCGATTCCAACTTCGTGGTGCCCCGAGAAGCTATCACGAACAGCTGCAATTTTATATTTGACGATTAACAATTAGCAAGCATGATTTTTTTAAATATTTCTCAATCTAATCGATAGCAGCGACCTGTACAGTGAGCATTCAGAGTGCAGCAGCACTCGAGAGCAAAACAGCGGCGAGCATTATCAAATAGCCAAATGAATGGGCCCATAAAAGCGCAAGATTAGCGCTAACTGATTAAAGCCCAGAGGAGAATGGGCCAGTTTCAGTTGTCGCACAGTTGCCACGAGACACGGTCGAGTTTTGGTCTAGATGCTGGTTATATCCGACTTTGTACGTCCACTCAGTGCCGAGTTGTCCCACATTGCTGAGACGGAGCTAAATGAGGTGGCGGAACGTTTGCCTGCGGATCTGCAGGCTCTGCGGGATTGGCTGGCCAAGCAGCCGCATCTGAAATGCCGCCAGGATGCACAGTTTTTGGTTGCCTTTCTGCGCGGCTGCAAATTCAGCCTGGAGAAGGCCAAGTCCAAGCTGGATCATTTCTATACCATAAAGACCATGATGCCCGAAGTATTCGGCAATCGTCAAATGGATGAGCGCAACATTGCGCTGTGTCGCACGGGGTGAGTCACATATTGCTGACCAGCTTAACATTATCCATGCAACATTCTTTTTATGCCACCAGCACATATGTGCGGCTACCCAAACCCTTTGGCCCCGCCGGACCACGCATCACGCTAACGGATTACTCCAAATTCGATCCGAAGATCTTTAAAATGCTCGACCTGTTTCGCTATCAGACGCTGCTAATGGAGCGCCAAATACGCGAGGATGACAATAGCATCATCAGTGGCTACATTGAGATTCTCGATTTGTCCCAGATAAGTCTCAGCTTTGTGGGCCAAATGGACTTCCCGCTCATCAAAAAAATGGGCGTGTTTGCGGAAAAGGCAGCGCCCACGCGCATGAAGGGCGTTCATTTGGTCAACTGTCCCAAGGAAGCGGTTGCTGTGCTCAACCTGGCCAAGAGTATTATGCCCACCAAGCTACAAAATCGAGTGAGTCGCGGGCGGGCGGGTTCCAATTTCAGTCACTAGACGATAATCCAATGCATTTGTTATCAAACCCTTATCGGAGTTTACTCAGCTGTTCCAGACCAGACTGTTCGATAAGCTGAAAAGCTCTTCAATCGCTTTCCAATTATAGAAAATCAATAATCTTTTCGATTAGCCCTTATGTTACATGAACTGATATTCAAATAACCCCAATATAATTTGAGTACTAAGTTTGGGGAATTCACAATTCAATTTAAGATGCGTAATGCTTGCTTATCGGCAACAAATTAGTTTTACGACTAGACTGAACAGCTGTCATAAAATATTATTCCTTTAATCGTAAACAAATAATTACTTAAAAATATACTCAGGGTGACAACCAGAAGATATTCAAAAATATTCTTGATAACCCTATTTACTGGAAATGTAATAAATCTATTTACAAGTGGTTTCTATATGAAGCTGCGAGTTTTCTATACACTATTTAATATTTTAAATCCCAACGATTTGTGCGAATATTTATTTAATTTGTTTTCTTTAAATGGTGTATTTATTTATTTCTACTTTATTAACTTTTATTTCTTTCACAGTTCTATGTGCACAAAAACTTGGAGCAACTTTTCGAGATAATACCACGCGAATATCTGCCAGAGGAGTACGGCGGCGACAATGGACGCATTGCTGATATCATTGCCCAGATGGAGCAGGAGATGCTCGGCTATAACGACTACTTGAAGGAGGAGAACGATTACGGCGTTAACGAACAGCTGCGACCGGGCAAACGTCTGAGTCCCGACACGCTGTTCGGCATTGAAGGCTCCTTCCGTAAATTGGACATCGATTAGATTAGCTCACACCATGAACTGAAATTGAATGGGAAAAAAAATCCCGAAATTGCCTTAACTTTAAATTTAATTAAATGCCAAGAGCAAACTGAACTCAAGCCATTCAATAAGCACAAGCTCTTTGGGGGTTGAAAGCGAAAGAGATGCCCTCTAAAATGGGTATTTAAGGTAGGAACTCATGCATATGCAGAGGGTTCAATGCACAAGGACATATTGTACAGTATATAGATATCCATTAGCCAACTGATTAAGCATAAGAATCACATTCAAGCTTGGCTAAAATGAGTGACATGACTGGTGATATTTTTTCGATAGTTCCCCCAGCTACGCTGAAAATTAACAAAAAAAAAACGTCCTTTGAAATATCGCCCTTCTATGCGCTTCTCATGAGTTAAAGTAAGGCTTACAGGTTTTCATGCTTTCATAGTATGTGATATATTATCAAATTAAGTTGGCAATCTAATAAACTTTATGACTCACTATAGTTTACTCTCTTGTACTTTCACTCTCATTTTGTGCGACATTTTTCGTCTTGCTTGTACTCTAACCCGATCTCGTTTGACTTTTTAGTGATATGTGTCATATATATAAAATTGTGTCCCGTTTAAGTAAGACTCCGAGCTATCTCCTTATATAGTATGCACTTTTATTGAAAAACTATCCTATTTACTGCTTGTTTGAGAGGCGCAAAGAAAGGCATCGCCTGATGGACAGCTTGAAGAGTTGTATGTACATACATTACTAAAGGTAAACATCACCCACGTTGACACTCAGCAAAGCGTCAAATTCATAAGCTTTTAGTGTGCGATATCAGTGACAAGTGTTAATAGCCTTATCTATCAGTTAAGTGAATTAGACAGGATCTATAAAAATGGTCATGTAAATTTGCATGTTAGGCCAGCTGTCCAACACAGTTGCGCTCCAGGCGTCGACTAGTTAAGTGTCAACATGACTGCATATAATTATAGCATACAGGTGAGAATTTTATATCTAAATGAAAAGAATTATTTGATTTACTCCATACTCTAAACTATATCCAAGCAGTTTGACTTTAGTCAATGGGATTTTCCTGCGGAGCGCATTTGGCTGCACAAAGCGAATGAGGAGATTGCGTGGAAAATCATCTCGTTTTTGCCACTGATTATTTTTGGCTTATATGGAAACTACATCTTGATCTATCTGATAGCCACGAATCGTGCACTGAGATCGCCAACGAATTTAATAATAGCCAATATGGCAATGGCCGACTTTCTAACCCTGCTCATTTGCCCTGCTCTGTTCCTGATCAACGACTTCTATCAGAACTATCAACTGGGCTGTGTGGGCTGCAAGCTGGAGGGCTTTCTAGTGGTTGTCTTTCTGATCACAGCCGTACTGAATCTCTCGGTGGTCAGCTATGATCGTCTCACAGCGATTGTTCTGCCCCAGGAGACGCGCCTGACGCTGTGCGGTGCGAATATTGTCATCGCTTGCACATGGCTGGCGGGGCTGTTGCTGGCTCTACCCTTGGCCATTTATCGGCAGTACAGGGTGCGTATTTGGCGAAACTTTACGGAACGCTACTGCAAGGAGAATATGACTGTGCTGCCCAAGTACTGGTATGTGCTGATCACGGTACTGGTCTGGTTGCCACTGAGCATTATGCTCATCTGCTATACGGCTATATTTATAAAGGTAAGAACTAGGAAAATAAACTACTATAGCTTGACGTATATAACCACTTAACAACTTCCAGCTGGATCGCTATGAGAAGCGCGTCTTGAGTCGCGAAAATCCACTGAGTGTCAGTTATAAGCGCAGCGTGGCCAAAACGCTTTTCATTGTGGTCATTGTTTTCGTGCTGCTGCGTTTGCCCTTCACCATTTTCGTGGTGCTGCGCGAAAAGTATTACAGCAGCGAGTCGAGCGTGGATTGTGGCATGAAGTACTTTTCATACTTTTCGCAATATCTCATATTTGTCAATGCCGCCGTCAACCCCATCATCTATGGCTTCAACAATGAGAACTTCAGACGTGCCTATGCACAAATCGCGTGTGTGCAAAAGCGCAGAGCCGCAAACGCAAATCGTATTCATCATTGTTTGTATTGTGATTTCATTCAAAATAACAAATCTACACAAGCGAATGCCGGACAGAGATCGGACAAGGAGATATCACAGTCTGCGGCCAGGGTAACTAAAAAGCTGGAGGAAACATCCAATATCAATGAGACTCTAATGCCACAGCTTAATGGCGAGGGGTTTATTTAAAGTCTCAATTCGTAGTTTTTCAATACGGTTATAAAGTCTTCTAATCAGGCGAATCCCAATAATAATCTCTTATTGTTATAATTCAAACGATTTTCATAAGAATTCCAAGTAAATACACTTCCTAGGCTTTAAACTCTGATTACTTTTTCAAAACTCAACCAATCTTCCTTGTGGAATATTAATTTGTACAAGCTATCTGACTAAATAACTGAATTAAAGTGCATTAATTTTTTCGGAAAAATTTTAATATTTTCTATTGTAAGAAAACTCATTTTGAAACTAAACCAATTTACAACACTTTTTTAATTTTTTCACTTATTTTGCGCTCAAAAAGTCTCAGGTATTTCAAAACTTATGGACCCGGAGCATTGTAGCGCATCTGCACAGCTGATCCTGATCAAATCCGCAAGAAGATTCTCACACATTCTCTTTCCCATTCGCTCTCATGGAGTTCCTGCGCTCATTCAACAGCAGCTGAAGCTTTAGAAACCGTTTTAAAAGCTTCAGATCTATAGTTAAGCGTACGACTGGGCTGTTTCAGCACGTGTTTAGCTTCGTTTCAATTAAGTATGTGTCGTTTAGTATTTGTATTAATATTATTGTGGCTACTTTGGAGGCATGGCCATGCATTTGAGGTGCGCTTTGAGGAGAGCTATCCTGGCTACCGCATCGCCTCGGATTTGGACGCGGTGTCGCAGCGCCTGCACAAGCGCGAGATGCAGCAATTTTTCGACAAAGGTTTTACGAATTACAAAAAAGAAACAATCAAATTTTATTTACAGACGATTTAAAAAAAGACGTAGAAAAGCTCAGGCTAAACCAAACAACTCAGATTTCATATAGCCCGTGCCATGGTCCTCTAGGAACTTGATGAACTGGCCCATGTTTATGACGCCCTCCTCGCCATCGGCGGCATTGAACAGTTGCTCGGTGAAGTTCTCAAAGCGGCGCTTGCGGCAGGTCTCGGTTCGCACCAGGCTGATCTTTTGCCAGCGCAGGGCTTTGATGCTTCGCCAGTATTCCTGCACCTGCTCCGGCTCGCCCTCGATGCAGATTATGCCCGGCTTGCCGGGTCTGCTGAAGCCGCTCAGCTCCAGCTGACGTGCTTGGCGTATCAACTCCTGCCGCTTCATGCTCGACTTGATGTGATGCGAGTAAATCCAAAGGCGCTCCAGCTGTGCTGTTCTGGGCTGCTCTTCTGCCGGCTCGCGCTCTAGTTCGCTGGCCGGACGCAATATCAGCGTTTCGATCTGATCTTGGAGCCAGCTGAGCAGCTGATATATGTAAGGCTCCTCGGCTTCACGCTGGTCAACCAAATAGTTAGCGATTTCCAGCTTTAGATGCTGCTCCTTGATCTTGTCTAGCAGCGTTGTATGCACGCTAATCCTGGCCAGCTCCAGCAGCGGATACAAATGCGGCAGCTCAATGCGCACATCCACACACTCCTTGGCTGGCAAGCTGAGCCGGATGATGTACTCCAAATTGGAGCGCAGCGGCGTCTGTGACTCCGTTTGCAGAAACTCATTGAAATCGGCCACGACGCCGGCGTCGAGCAGCTGCAGTTCACCAGCAGCGCAGTAAATGGAACTGAGCAGCTCCAGCTCCTCCAGCTGCTGGCCAATGCAGCGTCGATAGGCCTGCTGATCCATGGCCAATGGCTGGCGGAAATTGAGAGAGAGTTGTTTGGTTTAGTCTCGGGCGACGCATTAACAGCCTAAAGTCTAAAAATGGAAAGCTAGTTACTTGAAAATTTATAGAGCTCTAAGAAAGGTTGGAACTAAAAGCTCTTAGCGAATGTGGATCGTAAAAAGTTTATTTTTTATAATTATTAGTCAAGATTATACTTGTATAGTATCAACTAGGTTTCTATCTACCATTGGTTTCTAGAAAGCTTGCGATAATATATAGCTGTAAACTTTCAACTAGTCTATGATTATCACAAGCTTGAGCTTATACTCGCTTCTCTTGATCTTATTTCAAAGTACAAGTTTATGAAACTCTTAAAAATATTTTGCCAGCTTAACGAAAGGTTTCTAGAGAAGTGCTCCAATAAGTGTCGGGAGTTAACGACTAAGAGATACCCTGAACAAGCTGCAATCACAAACTTTCTAGCTTTCTTTTATACAAAGAGGCGGTGCGTCTGCGTCGGTGCTTATTGTCCGATCTTTGTGAAATTTTCAGGGCTTTAGTGTCACCCAACTTCTAAACCGCAATTATTATTTTTAAATTTAAATCTTTTCCAGTTTTGGGCAAAGATATCCACAAATAAAATATATTTAATCTAAATGTTATTTACGAGAACCTGCATGCAAAGTTTTAAGTATCTAGCTCTTAAAATTGTTATGCAATGCTTAAGAAACTAAATCGTAGATTCGATTTTTGTCGATAATACGAAAAAAGGATAGAGTTTGAAGCTTATGTACATTTGGAGCTCGTTGGCCTGGTCAAGAGTATATGCTTGGTATATGGCGTTCGGAGATCCTTCCTACTGCATGTTATATATATCTGCACACAAGCATCCCACCCTTTTTAGCCATTTTCGATGGGTTCTGAGTAGAAAATATATATTTTCCAACTTCAACAGGGCTTTGATGGAAGGATTTTAATTACAGTCATTTTTAAATCCAGATATTTATAAAAACAACTATTCCAAGAGCGGATCCAGTGTATTATATACCCAATATCTTTATCACCCAACTCAGCTGCCTACAGTTTTAATGGCCTAGAACGTGTGGCTTCAGTACCCGTGCCCTTTCCACTGGACATCTGTATGCTGCAGTTGCCCACAGTGAAGTATGCGACAACTCTGCACAAGGATGCGGCGGGTGTGCGTCATTTTGCCGTCTTCGTGTGGCGTGCGGCTGAGCAGGACTATGCGCTTTTGCTGCAGCAGCCGGCGCCCAAGGCCGTGGCACTAGACTGCCTGGCATATGCAGGTCTGGGCTATGTGGCGCTCAGCTATAATCACACCGAGCCCGTGCTGCAGGCGCGTGACGGTTCGCCCATCTATGAGCTGTCGCCGGAGCGCGGTCTGCGCACGGTGCAATATTTTGCAGGTTTGCGATTGCGGGGAATGTATTTGAGGATTAGCAGCCAGGAGCTGACGCTGCTGCAGGCCTACGATGGCGGCGCCAACACGGAAAACCAACGTTGTCCCTACTTCAAGTGGACGAGCGGCACATTTCAGCGCCTCGGCGCCATACCCTGCAGCAACGCCCGCCGGCTGGAGGCCTTTGGCATTGACTATGCCGACTATGTGGCGGTGGCCAATTATGCGAGCGCCGATGAACGCACCTCCACCCATTCCGAAATCTACAAATACGATGCGACAGCGCGTCGCTTTCAGCTGTTCCAAAGACTGCGCAGCAACGGTGCCGTCGATGTCAAGTATTTTAGTCTGCCGGTGAATGAAGTGAGTCATCGACACTTTCTCATATTGGGCAATACGGTGGCCGCGGGAGGGGGCGGTAGTGGCAGAGCCAGTGGCGGCGATGGCGATGGCGAGGCGGATACGGTGATCTATGTCTATGATAATGGACAGTTTGTGCCCTATCAACGTTTAAGTTTCTATGCACTGGAACGTTTTTTGCCCGTGACGGTGAGTACAATACACAATGGCTGTCAAACTGTTACAGTCCGACTATGCCTAGGCCAAGTATGCTGTTTTGCAAGCAAAACGGTTTATTGCATATAAATCCAAAAAGAAATAAATATATATGTATATATATATTATCGATCCATTTTCCCATTTAAAAGCAAGGTCAAAATAAATGTTTGCAATTAAATAACGGCATAAGCCACCTTAAAATTGACCACGTGAAATTAAATCACGCGTTTCCATTCACTTGCAGCATGCGGTTGCGGAAAAGTTTCTGCTCTTTGTGGCCTGCAACAAGCAGGATGTAAAAATCTACAACCTCAACGATTGGAAATTCGAGGAATCAACAGTGCAGTTCACCGAAGGCGCTTTCAGCAGGGGCGTGGCACGCATGCGCAGCTACGAAGAAAACGAACAAAGCTATCTGAGTGAGCTATTGCAGAATCGATTATTAGAATAGATTTATTACTTAGCCCCCTTCTCTTAACAGTCATTGCCAATGAGAATATGGCCGCCAATGAGACAAACATATTCCAGCCGCTCTACAAACAGGACGAACATGCGAATGTTCTGCGTCAGGAAATTATAGAATGGGCACGCGAGCAGACAAAAAGATTGGAGCAAGTGAATGTTGAGCATTTATTGCTGGGTCTGCAGGTGAGTTGGAGATTGCATCGATTCAGAAGCCAAATTGATCAAGTTTTATCCCCCAGCAAAAACTCAAAAAACGGGAACAACAAAGAATGAATATCAAGCGTGTGAATACCAAGTCGGTGAGTAGCAAATAATATAAGCTATATTATTATTATACTTATTATAAATATATGTCCAATAGCTTTTTGTGTATGTATATGTATATACTTAAAAAAGGTCTAAAAAAAATATATAAAATAAATAGATTACGTTACGAGACAAGATATACATGAAATCTTTTCATAAATTAAGTGTTGAAATTTAATTTCCGATTTATAATAACTATTGGAAGCTAATTTTAGTTTCAATCCATCTTACCCCTCTCTATAGCTAGTCGATGCGCAACAGAAGCTAACCACAAACTATTGGGATGCTCTGCGCTATGCGAAACGTGCTCTGGATGTGATCGAACAGGATGCAGCTCAGGCTCAGCATCATCCTGTCAAGCGGGATGCCTTGGAGCAGCCAACAGAGCAGCACGAATTCGATGAGATTACAGTGAGCACTTTGGTAGTGCATGAGCGGCTGCAGGCGGAGCACATTAATGGAGTGAACAGTCATAAGCCCATCTACGAGTCGGTCAATGCCAGCAAAGTGTATGTGAGCGAGGAGTACAGGGAGGCAGCCACGGATCAGCTTGTGCCCGAATTGGAGCGGCTGAGCGTGCAGGAGCTGCAGCTAGCAGGCAAACTGAATGGCCACAACTGGACACAGCTGCTCGGGCAAACACTCAAACGGCGGGGCAGTGAGGTGCAATTCGTGAAAGCGCCCGTGGACATAAGCAACCTAAAAGCCGAGGCGGTGCGGGTCAACAGCAATGAGATTAACGACCGGCCGCTGGGTCAGCTTGTCTCCATCGATGGTGGCGACTACATAGTGCAGCAGGATGTGCAATTCGCACAGCCCATCGAGGTGAACCGGCTGCTCATTAATCAGCGTCTCAATCAAATACACGTGGATCGCCAGCGCTTCGATGTGCTGCTTCACCAGGCGAATCACACCCAGGTGATCGAGGGTGTCAAACGTTTTCAGAATATACGAGTGCTGGAGCCTATTACGATTGCGGTGAGTGCGAAAGTCTTGTTATAATTACATATAAAAGTCGGTAAAAACATAATTTCCTTTCACTGCCAAATATTTGTGCCACTTTTAATTGTTTCATTCATTCAAAATGGGAAATAATGGAATTATATAGTATAATACAACATTAATGGGAAATTAGTCGTTTCCTCATTGGGAGAAAATTTACATGGAAGTTGACCTCCTTTTAATCATTAATGTTTAAGGTTACGTTTATATGACGCGTTCATAAAAAGGGAATTTAAATTGAAAATCAATGCCCTGTTGTTATTCCATGAATGCTGTTGAATGGATGCGTGAGGAATTCGCACAGAATGACGCATTCATAAAGAGGAAATTCACGTTATTTGGGTAATTTAATAAAGGAAAGTGAAAGTTACATCCCAAATCCTTAGACATATGATTTATTTTTATAAAAATGCACTGTATTATATATTTTATAACTTGGCGTTTTGTATATTCCCTAACAGGGTCAATTGCTGGGCACCGAGCTGCTCGCCATGTCGCCCATGAAGGTGACGCACGAGGCGCTGCAACTGCAGGGCGACTATGTGATCGACGGAGACGTGACCATTGGTGAGCTGCTACAAGTGCAGGATGTGCGTGATGCAGTCACGCAGAGATCAGCAGCCGTGATCTTGCAGCAGGCGCTACGTGTGGATCAATCTTTAGAGAATGTGAATTTGCGCTTTGAGCAACCGCTAAGCGCCAACGACACCCAGCTGAGCTTCATCAATGCGCAGGATATGCAGGAACTGGTGCAGCTGAATGTCGAGCAGGTACAGGTGATTGAGGGCGTAAAAGTTCTACCCCAAAGTCTAACCATACGCGATGGCTTCGGCGAAGTCAACATACTGAATGGCATCAACGTGGAGCAGCTGCCGCAGCTGCTGCTGCTCAAAAGTAGCAATCAAAGCTTCAAATTTCCCATGCAGCTGGCCGGTCTGGAGGCGCCGCAACTGTATGCCAACACACTGCTGCTAAATGGTCTGGAATTGTTGGAATATATGCGACACAGCGGCGAGCAGCGGTCCAACAACAGCTTGTACGTGGAATACCTTCAGGCCGAGGAGCTAGGCGTGGACCAGCTGCACATGCATGGCACTATTTTTGGCCACACTTTGGATGAGCTCTTTCAGCAGGGCGCACAGCGACCGCACAGCTGGCAACTGCCGGAGCACTTCAATGGCACCATCCACGCGAGGAACGTATGGCTCAAGGGGCACATAAACAACGCGAGCGTAGCCCAGGTGGAGCAACAGCTGCAGCAATTAGCGGGCAATATTAAATACGTGGGCGACTTCACCTTTAGACATGCGGTCAACATAAGTGGCCTCAGCTTTGGCGACACTCTGAACGGCATCGAAGCTCACAGATTGGGAAACTGCTGGCTGGAGAGCAGCGGGAAGCCGCAGCAGTTTACAGCACCACAAACCCTGGCGGCTGTCTCAAGCGACAAGGATGTACTGCTCCACGGTCGCCTAAACAACTTTACGCTGGAGCAGCTGGTCAAAGGCAGCTACAGGTTGAATGCTACGGAACACTTGCAAGCGGTTAAATTTGGTAAGTACCAAGACTTGTTCAGATATGTACAAGTACCACTAACGTATCGTAAAACTCTTCCCAGTTAATCCCATTGTGTTGCAACAACCACTGAGCGTGGGTCGTGTAAACGGACTGCGTGTGCCGGAGGATATGCTGTATGCGCAAGGCGGCGGCATGCTGCAAGCGCCGCTCAAGATCAATGGTCAGCTGCTGGCGTCTGCCCAGCAGTGCAATGTGAGCAGCCTGAATGGCGTTCAGCTGGACGCACTGACGCATTACCTGAGCGGTGGATATGACATGCTGCACGTGGAGCAAGCACAGTTTGAGATGGCGCCCAAGTATGAGAAGCTAAACGGACATAAGCTGCAGCAGCTGCTCAATGATCTGTGGCTGGACAATGAGATGGTTGAGCTGAAAGCTGTGCAACTGGCAAACGCCAGCTTTAAGGGATTGGTCGAGTTTGAGGTGAGCTTAGCGGAATTATTGCGTTGGAAAACAGTTGTGAAACATTTGCATTGCAGGGCACACTAAATGGCTTGGATGTGGAGCATGTCGGTCGCAACTATTTTAGCCGTACGCGCAGTCATCTTCTTAATGTGGCGTTTAATTTCAACCATGACGTCACTTTTGCACAGACGCTGGCCGCGAGGCAAGTACAGCTACGTGTTAAAGATGGCGCACTTGTTGAGGGCATAGGGTAAGTGGTTTGCAAAGACTTTGACTGTAATTGGTATCATGTTTCATTGCATTTGTTTACGCGCTAAAAGCAGTTTGACATGCACTGCATACACACACACACACAAACCGATATACGTAGACAGCGTTCCCCACCTCGCCCCCACCTAAAACTGTCACACACACACAACGTAAAATCAGCTGTGCGCGCTACTGTATGCAGGTGAAATTTCTGTACACGTTGCAATTGGCGCTGAGTACAAGCACTGTGTCGAATTGGGGCTTAATGTAGACTTTACCTTAAGTTTTGTGGATTTGTTAAAGTTAAATTAAATGCACTTTCTACGGGCAGGCACAATATTCAAAGTTTCGACACTTCACGAGAAGAAAAACAATAAAGTGACAGGACCAGGGCTGCCAAACAAATGATGGCACTTAAAAAAATATCGAACTATCGAAACAATCGCTTTGCTTATACTCAGAGTAACCGTATATTTTAAGACGCGGTTATTTTTAAATGTTGAACATTTGCCTAAATATGTGTTATATTCATAAGCTCAAATACTTTAATCATGGTATTCGCAACTACTTAAATTCGAAATTTTTGAAACACTTTTAACAGCAATGTCTCGCTAAATTTTGACGATTTCGTGGCAAACACATTAAAAACTGCTGGACCACACATCATCACAGGCCAATGGAGCTTATCGGAGGCTCTTGTATCGGGCGATTTAAATAATGTGCTCATAAATCAATTAAATCTAGTTGATGACGTTCTGCGCAACGATACCCAGGGCGTTACCTTGTTAGGCGCAACTAAAAGAGCTGCCAGCGCCACCATAAAAAGACTCTTTGCAACGCCCACTAGCACAGTAGCAAATGTGCCTGTGGCACAGTGGATCAACGACACGGTGTACATTTATGGTAATCACAGCATTGCCGGCACAACAATACTGGAAACCTTGAATCTCTACAATGATCTGCGCGTTAAGGGTCCAGTTAATGGCATCCACTGGCAAGCAGATCAGCTGCTGCTATGCGATGGGGAGCAGCATAGCGCTGGCTCGCTGCTGGTGGAGAATGCGCTGCCGGACCAACGGCGCATACTGAGCAGCAACATTGAGGAGCTTTGGGTGGATCGTATTAATGGACTGGCTGTGAACGAGCTATTGGCAAATAAGGCGCACAATCGTCCAAATCTGCATGTGGCCAGTCACTTGATCTTCACGCAGCCGCTAAGCGTGGCCAACTATGAGCTGGGTGAAGTGCCACTCGAAGGCTACAAGTGGAAACGCGAGGCCAATGCTGTAGAGAATTGGCAGCAGCTGAATGCCCATGTGGCTGCAGTGCAGCACCGTCTAGCGGGTGAGACATCCACATTTATTTCAATGAAACCAGTTACTCATGATTCCCCCGCAACAGCGCCCGCTTATGTGCTAGAGAGCTTTGCGCTGCTACAGCAGTTGCCACTAAATGCTAGCCAGTTGGAGATGATGCACGAGCAAACCTCAAATACGGATGTCCTAGCCATTTGGCATGGCAAAAACAAAGAAGCCTTGCAAATAGAAGTCTATGCCTGGCAAGACCAGGAGCGGCAATTCAAACACAATGCAAGTAAGTGAGCTATAATGCGTCTTTATTTATCATATAATTTAATGAAATGGTTTACGAACTTATTTACTAAAGTCTATGAATGAATTTCGTGAGTGGAAGGGGTAGATGGCTGAGAATGTTTACGTTTAAGCAAAGCGCCTAATAATCCTGAAAATACAGCTTATAAAATCACTTTAATTTATATATTTATATTTATATAAATATAAAATAAATAAGATCTGGGCTCTTTGCATAAACGTAGCAATTTATAATTAAAATGCGTAGCTTACACAAGTTCTTAGAAAAACACACGCTTTTTACACTTAACTATTGTTGCTTAGGTCTTATTGTTGCCAATAGCTGATGCTTGTGCGCCAATTATAGAGTAAAAGTTAGCAATCCTAAAGCTGCTTGTTCAGTTTACACGTGTCAAATAGCTGGCGAAATAATTAAATAAATGTTAAAACTAATCCTAGTTGAAAATGGGCATAGCTAAATATTTTCAAATCTGCTAAAATATTATATATATATATTTTTTGAATATATATATTTTTTCCGCCAAGTGTAAACAGGCTGTCGTGAAAGAACTTTAAATAATATCGTTAATTAAACGGCTCTCTACTTGACTATCTCTAAAAGGGGTTTTCTTCTGTTTTTCCGTCAATCTTGATCAAATTGTTACTGCTCCAGTTCATCGCTTTGCACGTCCACAATGGCACGTAGTATGCCCAGTTCCAGTTTGGCAGCGGCGCGTTGTGAGATTCGATTCATCACATTGGCCACATAGAGACCGAGTGCCTCATGGCGCGTTGAATTGCATAGATTTTTGAAGAATGTCGGCGGCAGCGAGTTATCAAAGTTGCCCAAATTAATTATTTCTGCTGTGTTATGGGAGCCGGCATTCACTTTGCTCGAATCAAATATGATTTCGTTCTTAAAGTCCAGCTCTTCGAGGTGCGGAGAATAACCATTGGTGCTGGCCACCGATGTGGAGGCCATTGTAGCCCCTGTCGAAGAGTTGGCACCGCCGCCACCACCGAGATTGCCGTTGAGCTGCTGTGAGGCGGCAGGTATGGTTATGATGTTAATGCCCGGCGGTGGTGATTGATTGCTTTCACGCTCTTTCTTTACCTGCAGCAACTGAGCAGTGGTCGTGTGCACCACATTGGTTGGGGCAGAAGTTGGAGTTGAAGGTTCAGCAGCAGCAGCAGCAGCAGCAGCAGCAGCAGCAGCAGCTGCTGCGTGGCTGCCCTTGGGGCTAGTCTGTGTTTTCTGGAGTTTCTTTTGCGATGCCGAACTGGCGCACTCATCAGACAACTTGCGCTTCATCGAATCGGGAAGTTGGATTGTGGTGCGTACGGAGGCCGTAGCCTTATTGCTGTTCGATTGTTGTTGTTGTGCCGTTGCCGCTGCCGTTGATTTGTGTCCAGCTGCGGCGCTGCTCGGTGTCTTTTTCAAGGTAATACCTTTCTTTTGAAGTGCCGCTGCCGCCACGGAGACAGCATTGGCCTGTGAGTTAGTCTGTGAGCGTTGCGGATTGTTGTTGGCCATGGTATTTAGCAGCTTCTTCTCCTCGAATGCTGGACGTGGCGTATCCACATTGGGTTTAGCGTATGGTTTATCCTCTTTTTCGGGTGTGCCGCCACCAGTACTATTCGATTTTGTGGGACTGTCGCCATCCGAGCTGGCTGAACCTGTGGAATTGGTTGGCTGGCCATATTGTGGCCGAGTCGTAGTGGCAGAGCTATCGTCATCATCTTCTTCCTGCTCCTGCACTTCTAGCATTTCATACTCCTCCACTTCCTCCATTGGCAATTGCTCACTTTGCAGGCAACGGAAAAGAAATGGTTAATACATAAATATTTAAGCAATTACTTTATGTACTCACTCTTCCGTTTTGACCACCGTCTTGGGCTCCTGGTGAATTTTTTGCATGAGCCCAAACAATTTCCAGCCGGAGTTACCTTTCAATTTCTCCTGCTCGTATTTTTTTTGCAGCACTATGAAAATGGAGCGAGACTCGTGCACAGTCAGCTTGTTGAGGCGACCAATGCGCGCCCAGGCGTCATCCTGCTCCTGTTTGGTGGCACTGGCGTTGTTTGGGTGCAGAGCCTTTTCCTTGGAAATATCCGCCAGAATCTTGTCCAGCTGGATAGCCATTTTAGTCAGGGACTTTCGGCCTGCGTTTTGAGCGTTTTTAATAATTTTGACGGCGTTTTTATGACCACTTTTTCACTTAATTTTTGGCCCTGCCGCTCTTTTCTAGCGTTTGCGCTGTTTCTGCTTCGTTTTGCAACTTCGCTTTTTCACGTATGCGGCGTCTGCTGCGACGCTGATTTGGCGGAAAAATAATTCGATGGTATATACACGGTCAGACAAGATGGCTCACCACAGTATACTCAAAGCGAATAACATTGCTTGAACCATATATAAATCAACATGATATTATATTATTTATTTACTTAACTTAACTTAAAACGTATATAACTTATTCAAATAACTTAAAAACTTATTTCATTAGCTGTGTTGGCTACCGATATGCCTGGCAGAGTAAACAGATACATATCATGCAGACTGAACGTGTTTGCTTATCAAATATATTCAAAAGCAAATGCAAAAACTTTGCATCGTTTTACAGCACTACTAAACTAACAAAACAGTTCAAAAGGAAATGAATAAAAATTGCTTCTTATTATATTTATTGTTTTTACGCAAATATAAACCTAAACTTACAATCTTACCACATTTACAACTGTCTCAGCCGGCAAACATTTAACCGTCTTCACGAGCGCAGCTTGCACCGGGCTGCTGACAACAAATGGAAACTCCAGCATGCCGTAACAGGCAGCTGCATAATTTCCCTGACGATTTACAGCGATGACAGCGCCAGAAAAGTCCTTATGATAATTTATAATACGTTTTATAGCCAAATCAACAGCCTCCTCTGGTTTCTTGCCCGCCCGCATGGCCTCCACGGCCAGAAGCGAGGGCAGAAAACGCATCATAATGTCCCCATCGCCAGTGGCTACGGCGGCACCAACTTCGTCATCCGCATAACTGCCGGCGCCGGCAATGGGTGAGTCGCCAACGCGGCCGGGTATCTTGTTTCGTGCCCCATTGGTAGAGGTACCTGTATGTATATGGTGCTCCATATCAATTGCAACCATGCCGATGGTATCGTGATTCTGCTGCCCCATTTTGTACTCAGTGCGAGCGCGATCCTCCTTCCAGCGCGTTAGGGGCGTTGCCTTGGGGACGTAGGGGCCACACGAAAGCTTAGGATCGGGATTTACGTTATGCCAGAAATTTGGCTGGCAATTCTCAGCCTTCCACTGCTGCCACATAGCTCTCGACTCGGGCGTCACCAGTGAGTCAGTGCGGAATCCCATAGCCACAGCGAAATTTGTGGCACCTTGTCCCACGAGCATAGTGTGCGATGTGCGCTCTAGCACAAACCTGGCCACACGTATGGCTTCCTTAATGCCCATTAAACCAGCCACTGCGCCCACATCCATGTTAGAACCATCCATAACCATAGCGTCCAATGTAGTATCGCCCAGCTCATCCGGCGAACCGCCATAGCCGACGGTGCCATCGCATTGCATCTGCTCGCACTTGGTGCAGCCCTCCACGACGGCGTTTCGTGTCTGCCTCAGACCGCCCTCCGACTGCTTGAGTATGCGCCAGGCCAGCGCATTTGCGTCTGTGAAGTTCCATGTATTGATCACCATTGGTAACAGTGACTCCGATCCGCTTGATTGTGTCGTGACTACAGACTTCATTTGCTTAGTCGCAGCAACTGTGGAGAACGACGGCTTTGTGCTAAAGCCTCGAGAGGAAGTCGTCTTGGCGCTGGTGCTGGTCGTGACTGTGGTTGAGCTTTTCTTGTAGCTCCAACCGGAGGGTACGACGGCCATGGACACCGCGGCACAGCAAATCAGCCAAAAGCATATTTTTAGCATTCTCAATGTGTATTTATTTGTTGTCAACTTCTCTGACGGTTCCTCACTGAATGCAGCTGCAGTCGATGTACCCGTGCTTTTAAACGTAGCGTAGGAGCCGCCCAATGCAAAGCATAACCTCACTTTTGTTTTGGCTTATCTTGGATGTGCTTATGCCCTGTCGCTATACATTGAGCTGGGTATATTCGGTTTAGAGAAAACTTGCTGTGCTTGAAAAGAAATAAGTACTTTGACATCTATGCACCAAAAAAAGTAGCGACAATTTTAAGTAGTTAAATTAAGTTACTGAATTTAAAGCGAATGCTCCAGATTTTATTTCATTTATTTTTCAATAAATATAACGAATAATCAAATGTTGTCTGTACAGGTATTCAGGAAAACATATAGAATGGAAATGCATGTACATATATAGCATAGTTTATAGGGTATACTTCTATAGCACATACAGCTTGCAGTTTTTCATTTATGTTTTCTCTTTGTTTCTTTTGTTTGCAGGCCTAACAAAAATGTTGCAACCCCATGAGAAATTAGCTGAGCAGAACAACACAGTTTTTGCACCGATTAGTGCCGACGCTTCGTTCCGTAGCCCCTTACGTCTAATGTTTTTAGACTGTCTGGCGCTACAAAAAGAACTGGAAGAACTCGTCATCTACTGCCGCGCCAATAGGAGCATCAATAGTACAATCTGGCGCCAGGCCGTGATACCAACTGGACGCGTAAAACAGCTGCTGCCCGCTACTGATAATATTGGTTCTCCTCTGGCCCTGCTCGTTGACAACTCCGTGGAGTTCTGGCAGTGGGCAGTGGATGGCAGCAGTAAGTTGCAGCAGCGTCTGCAAATAATGCAGGCTGAGCAAATGGCGCTGGCGCGTCATGAGAACAATGATTACTTGGCCGTCTTGACTGCATCCCCAGCAGCCGCCATCCACATATACAGGTAAGTGCTACTTCATTGCAGTGCTGCCAATTTAGCTGTGTTCAAGCTTGATTTGGCTATTTAGCTGCTATTCGCAACTTTTTTTAGTATCAACTTGTGTTCAGATAACTAATCCAGCTGTTTTAAACATTGCGTCAAGCTACGTTAACTAAACTAATAATTATCTTCCATACTGTATAGTGCCGACAACAGCAACGCCTTGGATTACCATCTGGAGCATATATTTGAATTGGACGAGTCGCCGCAGCAGCGTCGCCTGCTTTTTGTACATCTGCACAAATCCAAAGATCTGCTGCTTTGCTTGTCCAATGCCACTGCCACGCAAACCCTGCGCATTTATCAGCACCAGGGCGTGGCAGGCTTTCAACAGATCCTCAGTGATAGCACGCTGCCTGCTGCTCAGTTCTTGCAAACTCTGGAGCTGCCAGCGTCGCAAAATACGGTCTTGGCACTAGTCAATGGTGATGGCGTCTTTTTGGTGGGACCTCAGTTCACAAAGCTCTGAGGCACAAAGAATATATATTACTGTTTATTAATTATATCTGATACAATAGGTATTTCAAATGTACATAAAATGTTTTTGTAAATATTTACTAATTATTTGATAGTTTTCTAACACTTCTATGTTCTCAGTGAATCATCATGCAGACTGAACGTGTTTACTACATAACGTATTTCAATTCAAAACATACAAAAATAGAAAAAATGAAACAAGTATTAACGAGCAATTACGTTTCTTTCTACAATGGCACCTCAATCTCAATCTCTCAATCTCAATCTCCAGTCGCATTGCTCTCTTCGGGCTGCTGACAATGAAGGGAAACGTTTTAACACCGTGACAGATACCCGCATAATGCCCCAACCGATCAACAGTAATTAGAGCACCAAAAAAGTTTGGGTAATGCTTTAATATACGTTGAAAGACCTGCTCGATTGCCTGTGCCGGGGACTTGCCCTCCCGCATGGCGTCTACGGCCCGCAGCGAGGGCAGAAAACGCATCATAATATCGCCATCGCCAGTTGATAGAGCGGCACCAGCTTCGTTGTCCGCATAGCTGCCTGCTCCAGCTATGGGTGAGTCACCTACACGGCCGTGTATCTTGTACTTTAAACCATTGGTGGATGTAGCTGTATGCATTTGGTGGTCTACATCTATGGCTACCATTCCTATGGTATCGTGATTATCCGGCCCAATATTGTATTCAGTTCGGTTGCGTTCCTCATGTACGTGTGTGAGCGGCTTGTAGGGACCGCACGAGAGCTTCGGATCCGGAGTTACACCTTGCCAGAAATTACGCTGGCAATTGTTTTCCTTCCACTGCTGCCATTCGGCTGTCGTATTGGGCGTCGCCAATGTGGAGTAACGTTTAAGCCCTATTTGCTCGGCAAAATCTGAAGCCCATTTTCCCACCAGGAAAGTGTGCGATGTGCGCTCCAGCACAAATCTGGCCGCCAATACAGCATCATTAATGTCGTTTAGACCAGCTACAGCGCCTACATTCATTGTGGCTCCATCCATGACCATAGCATCCAGTGTTGTTTGGCCCTGCTCATCCGGCTCTCCGCCATACCCAACAAACATTTCGCACTGATCTATCTCGCACTTGTTGACGCCTCCCACGACTGCATTGCGAGGTCTGATGAAGACCTTCCTTTCGACTGACTTAGAATGCGCCATGCCTCTTCTGAGGCGGATGGATAGTATTGATTACCATTGGCAGGAGCTGCTACTCTTCTACGTCTAGATCTGGATTCCAGTTTGCTGCCTTTGACAGTGCTGTACAGCAAAGTACCCAGATGAATGTTTTTATCATTTTAATTACTTAAATTTCAGATTGTTTAATGTAAGCTTGTGGCCATTTGATCACTTAATGTGTTTGCTTCTAATGATCCGCAGCTTTTTTGAATGTTTTTCGGTGCCCGCCCAGCAATTGAGATAACATCACTTTTAAATCCTGGTTTATCTTTTTTAAAACAAATATACTCTTTTTACCAAAGATGAAGGGGTATAGATGAATTGTGGAACATCTTCCGCATAACGGAACTTGTTTTCGATGGAAGGATATTTTTAAAATATCAAATCTAAAATAAATAAAAGTAATATGTAATAATTTTGATGATTTAATTAAAAAAATATTTAAAGAGCACAAAAAAAGATTTTCGACACGGATTGATCTCGATGAGCTTAACCATCATTACTAACTTTTCAGTTTACATTGTCTCTTACTTAGAGAACTCCATTGAATCACTAGGCACTTATATTTTACTGGACTAGGCATAGTTAAGGCGATCTTTACTTTATGGTAACTTTATGATCCTATCAAAACTTTTGCTGGCCCCCAGAGAAAATAATCATGAGGTGTGTTGTTTTGATATTTTTTTGGCAACTTTGGGTTATTATCAAAACTATTGCTGCACCATGAGAAAATACTTCTGATGTGCTCTCAAAAAAGGCGTTTTGATAACATTTTTTTGCCCTATTCTATCTATTTTATGGAATCTTAATCGCAAGTACCATGTTTGTTTCCGATTTATAATCAAAAAACAAATTGATCGCTTCCTTCCCTGCTTGGTCCAAACTCTGTGGAGTTTTGACAGTGGGCAGAAGATGGGAACGCCTAGTTGCAGAAATGCCTGCTGAGTAAACGGAGCTGGCGCATCGTGTGAATCACGATTACCTAACATCGCCGCCAACCCTCATCCACTTTTGCAGACATGTGGCCCAAACGTACTCCTAACTAATCCTTACGTACCTTGTCAACAATTACACCACATTCGATTTTCAACTTTAGCAAACCTTTAGCTTAGCAAAGGCTCCACAGCCGTCAACTCCTGTTCAAATCATAAGGCTATGGTAACTATCTAATGTAATTATCTGCAGTTTATAAAAGTTGCAAGCGGCTCAACACCAGTCGTTGGCAATTGGCAATAGCATTGGCATCCAGTTGGTGACGCCAGTTTACATGATTTCTCAAAAGACGATTTTGTGATTATTCAAAGGTTTAATTATTTCTAAATAAAAATTACTTTTTATTAACGTTTTTTTTGTTAGCGGCGTAAACTCTTTAGTTATTTTAGTTTCTCATTAGTTTAATCGTCGCTGGACTCAACGTTCTCCGTTTGCAAGTTCTTGAATGTTGGCACAGGCACGTACGTGACCAGTGTGAACAGTTTGTTGGGAGAATCCTCATCGTCATTGCGGCGACGCGCCAGACGAACACGAACGCGGAATGGCGTTGATCTGTAGCGTAAACAAACGATATTAGTTTGGGCATAAACGATATGAATATACGTGTGCCACTCACCTGATACCCTTGGACCAGATGTGCTTGTTGAGGCGGGTATCGATGCGAACATCATTGGTGCCCATCTCGCGCTCGGCAAACTTGCGGATCTCCTTGATGGCGCGCGGCGCACGCTTCTTGAAGCCGATGTTGTGCACACGCTTGGCCAAATGAATTGTGCACTCACGGGTGACAACTTCGTTGATCGCCGATTTGTTGCGTTTCTCGCCCTTGGTCTTTGCCATTGCTATTGCTGTTCAATATCCTATTGAATAAAAGGAAAAACAATTCGGTTAGATTTAAGTTATCAATTTATGCTATAGCATATAGCCTAATCAAAACACAAGAGTAATTTTCAGACGCCATTTAAACACACATAGCACTGCGACCGCCATAACATTTTGGTAGTTAAGTTAAGCATTTTGTGTGCCGTATACATTTTTAAACATTTCATTGCATTTATTTTGGCATAAATTGCGATGTTTTCTGATTATATTTAGGGTAATACGCAAAAACCCACCTATAGGAAATGAAAGCTTGACGTAAAAGAATTTGACAGCTGCATAGTGCTGTCAAAGTCAGAGCACAATTAGTGTTGGTAAATAGTCGCATACAACCCTGCATATGACAGCCGGCCCCGCAGCTGATGTTGGCATGTAAATAAACAATGCTTGCAACTGCATGTAAAAAATGTTTACATTGTTTATGTGAGTTTAAAAACAATAATTGCCAATTACTTGCAGTGCAACTACTGACCGTTGGCCTGCTGTGGGGCGTGACGAATCCCTTTATACGCCTGGGAAGCCAAGGCATTGAGTCTGTTAAGGACACAGGCTCTAGGTATCGAAATTTTCTTGCCGAGCTGCAGATGATTGGCTCACGCCTGCATTACTGGATACCATTTGGGCTCAATCAATGTGGTAGTGTGCTGTATGTGTGGACATTGCGTACCGCCAATATAACTGTTGCTGTGCCCGTGGCGAATTCGTTAAGTTTTGCCTTTACAGCTATAACGGGTTATCTGCTCGGCGAACAGCTGCCTGGTAAAAGTGAGTGAGCTGTCATATATTAATATTTTGTTTAATTTGCTACATTCGGTGCAGAGATAATCATTGGAACGTTGCTTATATGTTGTGGAAGCATACTCATGATATGTGACAAGTTGCTACAAGAACAGCAGAGCCACAGTATAGATTTCCAATAAATAGTTTTTATTCTTATTTCTCGTCTTAATGTATTGTTCCACATATTAACTAAATGTTTATTAAAATTGTGTTTATAGGAATGACTATTTTTGGTTGTATTACAGATCTGTGTTCAAATTCTATGAATCATCAATGGTATGCCTGCAGTTTATCAATTTCACTTTAGCTATCGATCGTACATCACTGCAGTTAAGTGTTGTTAAAAACACTCAGGATGACCGGAATTTTAAAATACTTAAATCTTTCGTTTTCCTTTTTATATTTATTACCCTAACCCAAGGCCAAATTGTCTTTATTATATAAATACAATATTAAATAAATTCAATCAATTATAATTGTAATCTATAACGCATTATGTACCGCCTCAACGAGCACTTCCATGCTTGCGATGGGCGTCTGAGGCGTTATGCCATGCCCCAAATTTGCAATGTAGCGTGATTTGCCAAATTTGTGCACCATTTCAGTGGTGAGTGTGCGCAATTCACTTGGTTCACAGTACATGCTTTGTGGATCGAGATTGCCCTGCAGTGTTATATTTGGACCGACCACTGCACGCGCCTCAACCGGATCCACAGTCCAGTCCAGTCCAATTACATCGTAGCCCAACTCGCTTTGCTCCTTAAGTGAATGTCCAGCGCCCTTAGCAAATATAGTCTATAAAGATATTAAATAAGTTAGCTAAGAAAAAATTTTATTTAGCATATCTACTCACAAGGGGCACCGCTGGAATTACTTTCTTGGTGAGACGATCTACGAGATTGTCGCGTATGCGACGCAGATAGGGTGCCGACCAAACCAAAAACTCCTGCTTGCTTAGATGCTCGGCAGATGACTCAAAGATCTGCAGCATTTGTGCGCCTGCTGTCACCTGCATCTCCAGATAATCCACAATAACATCCGTAAGCAGATTTAAAAACAGTTTCGTGTCCTCCGGATAATTGGTCAGCCAGGCCTTCGTCTTGGACATGGTCTTACTACCGCCACCTTCAATCATGTAGCCCATGAGTGTCCAGGGTGCTCCGGTGAAGCCAATCAAGGGCACGCGGCCCTCCAATTTGTGGCGCATCATGGTTATAGCATCGCCCACGTACGTTAACCGCGACAGAGCGCCGTCTGGTGTCAAACGCTTTAAGTCCTCGGGTGTGCAGATCGGCTGCGGCAGCACGGGACCCACGCCGGCGTGCATCTCCACCGTCATGCCCAGTGCTTGGGGTATAACCAATATGTCCGAGAATATTATGGAGGCGTCCAGATCAAAACGCCGCAATGGCTGCATGGTCACCTCGCAGGCCAGCTCCGGTGTGCGACAAACAGTAAAAAAGTCGTGCTGCTTGCGCAGCTCCTGGAACTCGGGTAAATAGCGTCCAGCTTGACGCATCACCCAGACGGGCACCCGATCCACAACTTCTCCACGTGCGGCACGTAGCAAATTGTCATTCTTAAGGGGCGGGAAGGGCTGTAAATGTTTAAGCGTGTTGCTGTTATTATTTTTGATTGTCATTCGCGCAGCAGGCAACACCAGCAGCAGCAACAAAAATGATAATCGAAGTCCAAGAGTCTGCATTGATTAATTGAGGTCAAACTGCTTTTGTTGGTGATGTAACTAAATAATGGCGTCCAAAACGTTACTGGTACCTACCCTATTGTCTTTCATTCTTAAATAAATATATTTGTATTCGAAATTGTGTGAGAACGGCTCTGTTCTTATTCAACTCGGCAAATTTTGATGAAATATTTTATGAATTCGGCGAGCATCTGCATTCGATAAATGTTTTTATCGATATGTTGCTGTGCTAGCAGCACGTTTGTTTTGTTTACGTTATGTAGAGTTGCCGGATCGTGTGTGTGTGTCGGCATGTGCCGCCGTGATTTGCACATCACTAACCAAATTGCATTCGTGTCACAAACTAGAACGTAGAAACTGGCAATCACTTATTTTCCTTATTAGAGGTTATTGGTAAATTCTGTTGTTTTTTCGTTAAACCAAGTTCTCTAACAGTCATTTCAATCATTTTTAGATTATTATTGATCGTAAACATGGCTGATGAACAACCAAATTTGGTAGCTGGACATCCACCTGCATGTAAGTGCACTAACTGTTTCTTTTTTTTTTTTCGCTGGGTATTCGGGTGTCTTTGGGAGTCTAAATCAATTGTCAAATGTTTTGGTAAGCATTATTGACTACATAAGTAGATTGAAAGCTACGTTGGCGGCATATAACTAGCCCATTCATATCATATTGGCTGCAATATATTTGTCCTATCAATTCTTTCATCCACAAAACGATTGCTGATAAAGTATCCACACACACACATGCATGCATGTGAAACTATTGCGTTGTGCAGCCGCTTACCAAAAATCATTGAAAATAAGCTGACGTCATAATATTTATTTACAGTGAAGGCCGGTGGAATGCGCATTGTGCAGCACAAGGCGCCTGTGTCAGAGCGCCCGGCAAAGGATGCCGAGGATTGCACGGGTCTAACGGTAAATATAATTTCATTCGATTATTTATATATATATATTGTTTTGATAACTGTTATTTTTTATACAGAAACCAATCAATGTGAATTCGGCTTCAGTGAGCGGTGCACCCGTTAAGGGAAACACAGATTTTACGCCAGCTGGTGCGCAGGTGGCTCACTCTCACAAGCCGCCGGTGGCTGTACAGCAGAAGGTCCAGTCACACATACAGCAGCCACGCAAATGAATAATCAACTAATTTGTTAATGTCATACGATAGTAGACCTGTCGCACTGACTAAATGTATTCGATTGCTGTTAAAAGCGAGATTATTTTAAATATGCCTTGTATTTTGCTACACTTATATTGTTTGAATAGTTTTGCTTAACATTAATCATTCCAAATGAATTTTTGCGCGAAGATCGTAAATTAAATAAAATATATTATGGGTTTTTGTAGATAAAATATGCGAGTGATTACAGATAAGAGATGAATTTTCTGGTTGAAATTCCCAAGTGCTTTTTTAGCCAACAGTGCTTACAAATACAGCTTTTTGTGATCTAACGCTGCCCCACTGAGCTTCGGTGGTCCGGGGTGCGGACTTCAAATCCGCAGTCGATTAACGTCGAAGTGGTTCGATTCCACCTGGGGGGCGATTCTCTTTGATGTCAGTTGGCTTTTTGCAGCGAATATAGAAGTAATACACGATACTGGCTTAGGGGAAGATGGCCAAAAATGTATTAAAATATGCTAAAAGTAAGCAATTTACGTAAACAAAAGAATCTGCGGCGAATTGCTCGCACGCTCTTGTGTGTGAATTGTTTTTACAGTTACTATCATTAATGCGATTATTCTTTTATTGTATGACAACTTTGTTGTAAATTATAATTGAAGTTTTTTATATGGCATTTGCTGTTTTAATTATCCAGGATCGCAGTATGGCGACATCCACATAAACACCCGGATAATTGGGCTGCGCACAGCCGTAGCCCCAGGCCACGATGCCCGACAGCAAACGCTCGGAGACCATGGGACCTCCGGAATCGCCGGCGCAGGCATCTTTGCCAGCTGCAGCGGCGCATATCATTTCCGTGCCGACAAAATCCCAGCCATAGCCGTATTTGGCAGAGGCGCAGTCGCCACGCTCAACAATCTGCAGCTGCACCATTTGCAGGCTATTGGCAAAGCCAGCGTCGCCACTCTCTTCCGTACGGCCCCAGCCGCTGACGGAAACACTGCTGCCCGCTGATGGACTCGTGCTGGTCAGCGCAATGGCCTTGACGGACAGACTGAATGTGAGCTGCGTGGCCAGACGCACCAACGCAATGTCGTAGTGCAGCAGCTGTGCGTCGTATTGCTCATGGATCTGGTAGGCTGCCACAGGTAAAAGATTTCCGCCGGAATTGTGTTGATTGGCGCCCACGCGCACCTGCAGCAATGTCACGGATGTTCCCTGCACACAATGCCCCGCCGTGATGATAATATCCTTGCTGTAGATAGCGCCGCCGCACACATGACGCGCGCTCACTTGTATGGACACCTGCCAGGGTGCATTGTGTATGACCAAATCGTTGCCGCCTACAATGCGGCCATAGTCCTGACTGGCCGGTTTTGCCAGGCCGCTAGCGCAGCAAAACACGAGTAACGTAAGGATGACAATGGAGCTGGTATGAGCCATGTCTTGGAACACGCACGCAAGCCAAGTGGAAACTGAACGTACCTTGGTCGAGCGAGCATATTGCCGACGAGCTTATCGGTTGCCCAAGTGCCGTAAACGTTAATCGCCTGCTAATGGCTTATCGAAGCCAGCGCTTCGAGTGGGTTACCCAGGCAACCATTGACAAACAAATTCATTTCTAGTCGCTATCGCATTGTGTGTAATAAATATTGTTAAATTTCAGCTGCTTTAAAAAGTAGGATGTCCGATCCGTTTGCCATAACATCCGAGGAACTGCAGCGTCTGCGCGACATTTGCTTGGAGCAGCTGCGCCAGGATGAGCTCCACAAGCTGCGCAACGATGCCAAATTGCGGGCAGTAACCAGCACTGAAAGCTACGAGGAATTCAAGTGAGTAGATAGTAAATTCTCGGTCTGATTTCAGGGCCCAACTGATATTTGTCACTTGCAGGGACATTGTGGATGCAGCTCATCTGCGCCCCGTCAGCAAGCAGGACAAGGCCAATGCCAAGACCAAGAGTCGACTGTGGAACTCGGCGGCGCGGGAGCAGTCGCCCTAAAATGTAGTTAATAAAGCGTGAACTACTAATCTTCAAAGCATTGTTTTATTTCGAAAATTCTTTAGACGGAGCCGGCGTTGCTCACCACCCAGGAGCGGAGCTCAGCGACATTGGCGTAGACACCGGGATAGTTGCTGTAAGCACAGCCATAGCCCCAGGAGACAACACCAACGAGCACACCACCGGACACCAATGGGCCACCAGAGTCACCCTGGCAGGCATCCTTGCCGCTGGCGGCGGCGCAGATCATGGTGCTCTTGATCTCGCTACCATAGCCGTAAGTGGAGGAACCGCACACGGACTGGCTGACAATGTTCACGTTCACATACTGCAGGGTGGTTGGAATAGAGCTGGAGCCATAGGACTGGGTACCCCATCCGGAGACAGAGGCAGAAGCGCCGTTAGCGGGAGCAGAGCTAGCCAGACCGATAGCCTTGATGGTCGAGCTTAAGGCCAGGGAAGAGCTCAGACGGATGACAGCAATATCGTTGACCATGGTGTTGGCGTTGTATCCTTCGTGGTTCCTGAAGGCGGCGACCTGGACCTGGGTGCCACCAGAGTTCCAGTTGGTGGAACCGGCGCGCACCTGCAAGCTGGAGGCAGACACGGATTGCAGGCAGTGAGCAGCAGTCACAATGATGTTGGCAGAGTAGACCGAACCACCGCAGGAGTGGCTGCCACTACGCTGCAGCGAGATCTGCCAGGGGAAGCTGCTGATGGTGGTGGCGGTGCCGCCAACGATGCGTCCATCCAGCTGGGGCAGGAGACCCTCAGGGATCGCGGCACCAAAGGCGCAAGCAACAACCGACAACAAGATCACGAACTTGAACATATTGACTTAACAATGTGCCCCTCTTAGAAATGTCTACGACTTTTATAGTACTCCGAGCCGTCTACTATCTCCAGCTAATCAAAAGCTTTCAATCCATTTTATCAGATAGCTGCCACAAAAACGATAGCTGCCACTGTTTAAAAATAGGAAAAACCCACAGAAGCTTCAACGTCAGCTGATAGCGAAAGGAGTTGATTTTTATAACAATTTTCATTTAGATATTTATTGTTGGTACTCTTGGACTTTTATAAATAGCTGCTTTTTAATTAGCCAAAGCAGAAATAGTATTTATTGGGTTGCTCTAATTTAAAATCTTGCCTAAAGGGAATGACCCTACACATTATTTATAATATCATTTGATTATTTTAATAATATCAATAATAATTTTGGATAGCAGACGCGAAGGTTATGACATCATTTTTGCACGCAAAATTGATCTCCTTTCTACCCCACTTGGAGGTCTAAAATATCGTTTAGGTGCCTGATTTCGACTTAAAAAAAGACTCGTAGAAAGTTCAGAGGTACGTTGGTCGCCGTCCGGTTAGTTACATAATTCCGAGTATATTTTTCGGAGAACGCGGGAGCTATGCCGCATTAAAACGACATGATTCCCTGCAGAGATACATATGTTATTTTAAAGAGACATAACTCCTCACACAAATTGTCCTCAGATTTTTTTCGAATAACCAATGTTTATTTTTTCTTAACCAAATATGCACACATAACATTTCTTTACTTGGAACCTATTGAAAATTTGTTAAATGGGTTTAATGTATTTTTGCAAATCAATGTAACAGGAGAAAGGAAGCGTCTCCGTACCCATAAAGTGTATATATTCTGGATCAGGTCCACGGAGTAAGTTGATCAGTCTTGTCTGCCTGTCCTTTTGTGTAAATGTGCCTATCTTGGAAAATACATAGGCTAAATAACTTGAAATTTAAAAGACCTATTGTTCGATAGTTTATAGTTTTTTATACCCTGAACCCATTAAAAGTTGGTAAAAAGGGTATAATGCAAATGTATGTAACAGGAAGCATCTTCGACCCCATAAAGTGTATATATTCTTGATCAGCATCAATAGCCGAGTCGATCTAGCCATGTCCGTCTGACTGTCCATCGGTCCGTCCGTATGTATGAACGCAAGAATCTCAGAACCTATAAGTGACTTGAAACTTGGAACGTAGGTCCTCCTAGTGCCCGCGCTGCGCAAGTCTGTTTCCGATAATCGATAACTTGCCCCGTTTCCAAGTAATCGATAAAATCGTGTTTTTTGACCAAATCTCTTAGGTGTTTAGAGCTCAAACTTGACATGTAGCTTCTAGAATAGTAAATATATATCAAGTATCTTTCATTTTATAGCTATCGCCACAACTTCGCTACTACCACATAGCTATAAATTAAGTAAGAACACCCATTTATATTGCCCACCAATTTAAGTCACAATTTTATTACAATTATCTTTTTGGGAATACACGAATATTGTATAGTACAATTAGAACTACTGTTGAAAATTTCATCAAGATCGGTTAAGAAACACCGAAGTTATTAAAGAAAAGGTAGAGTTATTGGGAAGACACGTGGCTGCAATGCTGCATGCGCACACATCCAGGCACAATCATGCACATTAATAAAATCGCATTTGCGATTGTATCAAGTACTGTGTGTGTGCTGTTATTTTAATTCGCTTTTTCCCGCCAAGAGTCGATTGGTGTTATGGCTGTTGAGTAGAGGCGGCGGTAAGTAGTGTGGTCTGTAGCGGGCTCGAGTCTTATTGAGAGAACTATTTTTTATACCCTTGCAGAGGGTATTATAATTTTGTCGTGAAATGTGTAACGCATAGAAGGAGACATCTCCGACCCCATAAAGTATATATATTCTTGATCAGTATCAACAGCCGAGTTGATATAGCCATGTCCGTCTGTCTGTTTCTATGCGAACTATATGTCAACACCAGCTGGATCGGACCACTATATCATATGGCTGCCATAGGAACGATCGGGCGAAAAGTAGGTTCTTGTATGAAAAACATTTTTGTTTATAAAGTTATCTTGACTAAACTCGGTATTTATTAGTTTTACTACGCTCCCCATATATATGCAAAATCCTATTAAGATCGGACAACTATATCATATAGCTGCCATAGGAAAGATCGGTCGAAAATTAAGTTTTTGTATGGAAAATTTTTTTGTTTTTCAAGATATCTTGACCAAACTCGCG